CGTCGGCCACAACACGCCGGCGATAGACTGATCGAACTTATCCCCGAACGATAGCTGTTGCAGGGACGCCGGCCACGCGACTCCTTGAATAGACTGATTGAACTTCCCAAGTACCACACGCTCCAGGAACATGGGCCACGAAACGTCGTGTATTGGAATATCTAACTCGGCGTCCAACGCCAGCTGTGAAAGCCCTCGGGGCCAAACCGCTGATCTTATGCTAGCGTACACATAGATCCCAGCAGCTAAAGGCATTCTGACAACGTCCACAGCTCGATGGCGGCTCTCCGAAGGAGAACTTCCATTGGAAGTGCCCATGCCAATCGGAGAGCTCGCACGACCGGCACACGAGTAGAGATGCGAATCTCCGAGCCGCATGTGTTCAGCCGACTCTGTGCTTCACGAGGAGACCATAAGCTTGTTGGAGTCTGATCCTCCACACGGACGCGCAAGGTCGAGACATTTCGGCACGCCCTGCACATACCCAACGATGTCAGCTGCAGCTCCAAGTGTTGACACATATCAGCGCTTCTCTCCTCCCTCGCATGCTTGGCTCAAGGCGACGACGAATGCATCGAAGCACTGGGTTGGCCTTAACAACAAGCAGCACAGAGCGAAATCGAACAAATACTCAAGAAAAATGAATCGGACATGTGACAGTTTCTCATATAGATACAATACCGGGGACAGGGAGAACCATGGGACGAGAACATGTACAAGGGCATGACACGTGAAGGATTGATATTCGTTATCTCCGGGAACAGGACGACGACAACCGGATCCAAAGTGGCAGAGACATCGCATTCTTGTGGGAAATGCTGCCGACAGATTGTTTTATTTTCTCGACCGGGGATCGTTCTCTTGGACGATTGGTTGTAAGGGAAAAGCGGGCAAAACATCTTGCGAGGACACATCAGCAGAGAGGTCCCGGGGTACCGTCAGGCTCAACTTTCCACATCGCGGCTTTCTAGGTCCCAACCGACTGTTTGGCCGATGATGACCGTGGTTTGACTCCTGTAGGCGTTGGCCAATATGCACCACAATACCCTTGTTTCTTGGAACGTCAAGTACGAGCAATCGCTAAGGCTACACCACGATCCTCGCCGGAGCTCCACGATGGTGTTTTTCTCCCAACCATACATCTATTTATCACAGGTCAAACTGCAAGATTAAAAAATCCCGGGCAGTGCCCCCGCTGACTGCTGAAAAATGTCAATTGTCCCCTATGGTGCTTAACCCAGGGAGGTACAAACCTCTACACCTTTTGGGAGAAATCATACCAGCTTGAGCAACCCCGTCGATCAAAACTGTACCCCATGTCAGTTTAGGCCTCGTAGCGCCAGATCGAGGTGCTTGGAGTCTTGCGATTTGAGTACAATCTGCCCGCCGACATTATCGGTGAACCGGCGCAGCAAAGTGTGCTTCAGTTGCTGGCAGCTACAGCACGCCTAAAGCAACCACGCTGCTCGAAACTGCTATAATAGAGCCTACCGGTATGTTGTGGGAGTGGCGTCGCATGACTTGACAGCCATAGCAGTCAGACAGAAACGATTCTAACGTGTTTTTGTGACCTAAGTGCGGTTTAATGCAGCAGCCTGAAATTTGGCCAAAATGACGGATGTTCTGGGTCCTTTGACGCGCCGCCGCCGTTCTCTGTGTGTATGCCCGATCAACAAACGGATTGAACGCGAATGTAGCTGGTTCACCGGGTGTTCTCATACTGCAAAAAAGTAGAGGCTTTAGATTGGGAACAGTTTGATTTTCCGATCTACATCCCAAAAGTTACTTAAATATTTCGGTCTACTTTTCGTCCCCCTCGTATAAAACTGCTTTGGTGCAAATCCTTCCGTGTTTAGTTCAATTTTTTTCGATTGGCTTGCGAAACACCGTTCCCTTTTACAACGCTGTTGTTTTTGTGAGGAGCCTGGCGAAGCCTCAAAAACAATCAGAACAGTGAACACAGAATGCGTAAATTTAAGAGGACGCATGTAGATGTATCATTTCGATGATTCGGCACGTATTGTCTCTCGCGTCAAGCAATCTTTTCTCACGTTTCGTTCTCAGGGACACGCAGGGTGCTCGTCGTCACCCTACCACTCATACCTGAGGACCGCCACGCATCCGTGGCACGCGCAATCGACGCCTAATGCCGCCGTGACTGGCTCTATTTCGCGGGAAGGCATTCCGAACCTAAAACGCCGTCGCAGGGAATACAAAACATCTTTGCATAAACAGCTACACTTTCGACTTATGCCCAACAACACACGAAAACACATGAGAGAGCGATCCGATGCAGCGGTTTACAGCAGTAGAATCTGCGGCAATGGCACCGCTTGTTAAAAGCACACACTCGCGCACCCGCGAAAAAGTCATGGTGAGAAAAATACAGTTTCCTGGTACATGACGTGATGTGAGATAATTCTGCAGTTTGTACGGAAACCGGCACTACCGAACATCGGCATACAACCACCGTGACAACAGTGACCATGCCCTTTTGCGTGGTCCCTGGGAGGCACGTCACAAAACTCCCGAAGGGGAGCCTTGTAACGCAATATCTACTGAGAAAGCCCCCGAAAACAACACAACATAGTGAAGCACGTCAGAGTTGAGAACGCTCCCGGGTGCCCATCGTTCGCTCGCCTGATATTGCGTGGCTGCCGGCCGCCTCGAGACCGTTCATCGGTAGATCCAAGGCACGCCCTTGGCAACCCTATTGTAGCTGTTGAGGTAAATTGTTGTTTTGCGTGCGTGGTTGTTGTTGTTGTTGTTGTTGTTGTTGTTGTTGTTGTCTGAGGATCTTGAAGAGGTCGAGGTATATGGTCGTAAAATAGGGTGAACTCGGGAAGAGTTGATTACGTGGAGAGCGGGGTGAAGCATCCCCGTTTGTTCAGGGTTCGACTTGCCCTGGAGCTCTGGAGGTCAATAACACACACTGATCGCTAACACCTTTGCGACGCTTACATGCACGATCCCACCGGCACATCTACACAAACATCTGCGCAAGAGAGACCAACGCCGGCAGATCGCTCCACACCATTGTAGAAATGTGTCGTGTCGAGGTGCCCTGTACCCAAGGGTCGTGTCTGCAGGCGGTTAAGCCTGTGTGTAGTCGTCGAGACTGAAGCTGGTATCATTGTTGCCTCAATGGGACTTTCATTATTGCCTGCCGGTGGCACCGGAGCCTAGCTCAGTTGCAGAGTTGAGATGTTAAGGGATAGTTGGGGAGTGAACCCGGTGGGGCTCGCAACACCTCGTGATCTCGCTACAATTACAATCCTCTGCTCAACCATCAATTCATTCGTGAGTTCCTCGCTAGAACTCGTCATACATGTTACGTTTTACCAAACGTCACATATCACACCGCATGTATGTATCATTGCATACAGCAATCATACAGCTGCATCTATTCTACTACACACATCCTACAGCAGTAATGCGCTGTATTTCAACAACCATTAATAGTATTAGTTGCTTTGTATTTCGCCCGAGTTCTTTGGCGGCTACGGACTACTTCTCCGGGAATAGAGACAGTGGCGGAGACTTCGGCTTTAGGCGTTGAGCTCATGTGCCACGCATGCCTGGCGTTCCTCGGGCATGCGTGGCAATTTACCAAACGAGCCTCCTGCGTGCCCCTTGGGAGGAGGCGTTGGTGAGAAAAGGGTCGTTGCCGCCAGAGAAAGAATACACCGAAGCACCAAAAACATCGCAATGTTATGTACCCAGCCCATACTCATTTGTGTTGTACTTCGAAATAAGTATTACGTAAAAGTCTATGCAAATAGGATGGATTCAGCGCTCTGCCTGGTCCCGCGGACGGTCCTTCTCAAGTTTTCTGAGAGGACGACAAGTGTCAGAAGGAAGCGCTTCTCCGACATGGGTGTTGGTGTTTCTAAATCTCAAATTTACACTTCTCAGAAGACTTGACGAGCCCAAGCCCAGCAGTAGTCTAGAAGATTGAGGGCTACCAGGTGGCATGAGATACACCCCCTGGACCGATTTTCAAAGCCCGATTGTTCCACAGCACAAGAGTGGCGGTGCCGAAAATGGCGTTGGGGAAACCGCCCTTGTAGAGGCCATTCCAAAAAACGCCTCGTTTGATTGATGGGTCTTCTTGGTCGTGGAGTACTCGAGCTTTAGGAATCGGTGCCGGGGGGGGGGGGTATCTTACGTCACCTACTGCTGTAGTCAGCACTTGTAGGGTATTCGAGCTCGCATGGTGGTACCAGCCAGCACGCCCGGAACGAAACAGCCGTTGCTCCTGTAGGAGCGTTTTCGAAGGGGCATGGACCCGGCGAAGGGGTGGAAACTATACTACACATGACAGCTGACGGTGCTGCAGTAGGGAGAGGTTGGTGCGGTGTTGCTACACCAGCACCTCGACGACTACTTGTACTGCTGCTGCTGTACAGCAGGATGCTGTAGTCTAGATTGCTGAGGTGCCTGCACCTCCCGGTCTCACCTTCTGGATTAGCCATCGGCAAACCTTCACCAACGGTTGTTTCGAAGTCCAGGTGCACGTAGAAGGGTGACACTGCTGTTCCCCCCTCGCTCCCAGTCCTCAAGGGCACTCACTGGGGGTCACTCAACCGGGAGGATTGAGAGGAGATGGTAGATGTACCGGTTCGGACGTCGATGAGTTCGGGTTCGATGAGACATATGGGACCTGGTTCGGAGTGTGCCGAACCTGGTTCAGAGTTTTGCCGCGCTGCCGCGGCCCGCGGCGTCGAGACTCCGAGACTCCGAGCCTCGTAGTCTCGGAGTCTCTACGAGCCTACTGCAGTGGCGCAGTGTCTGCAGTGTACACGTAGTGCACGACTACTGCTTACTCGGAATGAGAATCGAGATTACGTACTGCTGTACAGCCGTACATTGCACAGAAGAGATGACCGGATGCTGTTGTTTGTCGAGGACGATCCCACGTAGCGAATATAACCCAAAACCGCAAATCACCCCATCCCACGAGGACGCAGGTGCCCTACCGCGACTCGAAGCTGATCCGTATGATGGCGCACTTCCTTGGAGGCAATAGCAAGACGGTGCTCGTTGCGACGGTCTCGGCAGGCGTGCCGAAGGCCGGGGAGACGCTTTCCACGCTCAAGGTGTTTGTGTGTGTGTTGGTGCTTGCTGTTGCTGCCGTCGGTTGCTATTGATGGCGGTGGCGGTGGCGGTGGTCATGGTATTGTTGTTGATGCTGCTGCTGCTGCTGGCGTTGGTTGCTCCCGCGCTAACGCCCGTAGTCTGTGAGTGTTGGGCGTAGTGCAGACATCTGTAGTCCGTACAGCCTGAATGTCAACAACCCTTCAGTTCTGTCCATCTGTACTCTTCAGGGAAAAACTGTTTCGTGGACAGCCAAATACCAAGCGCAAGTACATTCATGACAAGCTGGCCGTCCGATGGGGACGGCACGGAACGGTGGCGAAGGAGAAGAAGCAGGGGGTGGTCACGGCGACGGTGGCCGGAGCCGGCGGCGGTGGCGGTAGGGATGGCACCGACAGTAGCAGGAACCAGGGTCTGGAAAACCCCGCCGTCGCTGCTGCTGCTGCTGCAAGCGGAGAAACGGCTAGCGGCACGGCCGCGGCTTCGGAGCTGAACGCAGCGGCGGCAGGGTAGGGGGCGAAGGGCCGTGAGGGCTCAGAGATCACCACCAGCAGCAGCAGTGGTGCTGCTGCTGCTGATGGCAATGGCAGCACCGGCCACAGTAGCGGCAGGGGCGGCGGCCGTGGTGCCGATTCGGGTGGTTCGACCGAAGGGCCGGGAGGAGACTACGCCGCTTTCTTGGGCGCGCTCGTTCGGCAGGGGACCGTGAGGGATCGAACCGCCGAGGCTAATTCGAGATATAAACAAGAATCGGCCGCCGCTGCCGCTACCACCGCTGCCGCTACCGCCGCTGCCGCTACCGCCGCTGCCGCTACCGCCGGCTCTCCTGGCGCCGCTCCCGTAGCTGGTGACGGCGGAGGCGGTGGCGGTCACGAAGGTAACGGTGGTGGTCCTGATCCTGCCGCGTCGGACGGTGATGGTTGTGCGGCATTTAGCGGTGCCGGTTCTGCCCACCTGTCGCCACCGTGGCGCCGCCGTCGTCGAACGCGTCGGTGGTGAACCCGGCGTGGTGGGCGAGGGTGATACCGCTGCCCGGCCTGGTTGCGGCCGCTGCCGGCGGCGGCGGCGGCGGCGGTGGAGCGGTGGCGCTTGTTCGTCGGCCACCTTTCCCGGGAAGACCGGGCGAAAACAATGACGACGACAACGATGACAACAGCGATGACAACAGCGATGGCAACAGCGATGACAACGGCGATGACAGCAACGATGACAGCGACAGGTGCGACGACGACGACGATGACAACCGGAACAGCAACAACAGCCGTGGTCGCACACTAGGAGCAGCGGCAAGACCTGCGGCTGCACCAGGACCCCGAAAGACGAGTTGGGAGGACATGGAGGAGGATTCCAGCGATGAAGTCGAGGGGGAAGACAGCGGTAAGTGGCTCGACCTCTCTCACGCATCACGATCGGCCCGTTCTGTTTCACGTGCGTAGTTGCTCTACCGGTGCTCCGGCAAAGAGAGAGACTGGGTTGGGCAGAGTGATTTTTTTCCCCTGTGAAGCCTGTTGGCCGTGTCCGTCGTTTTCTCCCCTTGGTCGTGGGTGTATGGTTGGACGTACATTGCTGCCTTGTTTTGCTAAAAACCCCACTCAATTGTTGCATTCCTTATCTGCTGAACATTTCGAACCGGCCGCCGTTTCGACACGGGTGCGGTTTGTTCCATATTTAAACGGTTTCGAACCGACTGCTGGGCATCTCAACACGTTGCTGCTGTTGAGATTTGATTCCACAGCAGTTTTTTTTGTGCTTGCTTTTTCGCCGGCTTGATGAAACGTCAGCATCATCAGCACCAAAAAAAACTGGCGAGGTCACACATTGTTAACAACGATTTTGGAGAAAACCGTACGAACACACGCCCAGCAATTCCTCACTCCTCACAATGCGCCCCCTGGTCTTACATACGCGGCGTGCTGCACATTGATCATCCCGAGCTCGGGGCTGGTGTCAGAACTCCAGCTTCTTGCTGCCGTCGGTACCATATGGCGGCCGCTTGGCACCCTGAGTGGCCGCACCTGATGCCGACGACATCCCTTGCTTCACGTGCTTTGCGCAGAACTCCGGCTTCTTGCTGCCATCCTTAACATATGCCAGCTGCTTCGTGCAATCCGGATGGCCGCACCTCCTGCCACGGACACGAACCATACCCTCCTGGCTGTGCTGTACGCAGAACTCGGCCTTCTTGCCAAGGTCGTGACCATATAACGTGCAGTTTTCTTCTGTTGCCACCGTTTCTGTCATTTATCCGGAGACTAGCTTAGCCTCCCCCGTGACACCCCCTCACGGGGTCCCAGATCATGTCCTTTGGAAACTTTTTTGTGTTTTCAGCCGCACTGAGACTGACGTCTTTTCAGTGGTCAGCCGGTTAGCGGGGTCGATGCAAATAAGAAACACGCATACCTCGTGCGGTAGGCTACTATTAATCTTGGGATGTAGGCTTGAGGATGTTCACGAGTGAGCCCCGTATCGGCTCTCGAAAGAGGTACTGTTGACTATTATTATCGAAAAGGTATGTCCTGACTGACTATTATTGAGTTGGTGCGATCTCTCTCCCCAGGGACTCTGGGTACCCAAGAAGTCCAACGGAGAATAAGTCCAACAGAGAATAAGATGGTTACGTGAAAATGAAGTTGATCAGTGGAGGCCAGAAAGAATGCAGACGAAATGAGAGAAACAAGACAGCCAGCTCTCTCCACCAGAAAACTGCAGGGGCAAAGGTCCCCAAAAAAGCAGAGTGAGAAGATGGGGCGGGTGCGTGCCTATCCCCGAAATCTGGAATCACACCCATTCAGCAACGTCAACTAATCACACGTGTTCAGAATACGGTACCTGTAAGCTAATTTCTGCCAGGTAATGCACATGAAGTACTGCACTTGCAACCGCAAGTTATTACTTGCGTTGATATGCGACTAAACGCAGAATACAGCAACAACTGAAATACCTAGCACATTCAGCTGTAGAGGGCATTCGAATATTCAATTATCCTACGCGCGCAAGTCAAAGTTACTTTCGATGGTACATATTCCCTCAACTAACTCAAGTCTGGTTACTTGCAACGTCATGTACTTTCTTCCGGACATTTTAACCATTTTCTACATACATAGAATAGATTATCTGGTATCCCTTCTCAAGCATTCCATATTCCGTGTTTTGACAATGTACCGAAACAACTTAAACATGGCGTAGCGACATTGCCAACATGAGCAGCAGCCATACTGATACCTTACTAATCATGTTGTACTTGTAAATCTACTCCTTAAAAGCACAGCACAAGCCACGCCTATTCGATGGCATTTCGCACACCTCGGGCTACCATCAGGAAGATCCACGATCATTCGTGTACCAGTGCTACAGCACGCGCTATAGCGTCAAAAAAGGAGTTATGAAATTCAGGCTCGAAACAAGATACCCTTAGGAACTCGACCCACAAGAACAGACCCCACAGAAGAAATATACATTCGGTACCTGTTGGGCTAGAGAGTACCCCGCAGAGATATTGAGAAACGAACAGAGACCCAAGAACAAACACGGCGGTTGCCGCTGTCGCAATAAGCACACGCAATCGCCCTACTTGTTGCTTGCTGTGTGGGCGGTACAACGCGTAGCATTCGTTCGTGGGCGTTCTGTAAAGTACCAATCGCGACCCCAAATGAAGGTGCCTCGCCGGACCGCCGTGCTGCAAGCCCAACTGAGATTTGTTTTTACTGCACAGCCACAACTACCCTATAAATATATATGTCATACACACATTTGAACAGCTCACCCCAGCAGCAGAGACACAGGTTTGCCTATGGGCCTGCTCACGACGGCGTACTGTTTAGTGTGCCTGTCTTCTACTATTTACCTTAATTCTTCAGCTACATATGAATATGCACATATTGTAGATCGTTGTCGCGCACTATGTTTGTATAGGAGACAAGAGAAATTTCGGAACAGCGAATACCTATCTCCCCCCCCATCGGGATTGGGTTTTCGTCGCTTTGCAACAACGTTGTAAAAAAAGCCAATTCACTTCGTGAACTCGGCAACCAGGCTACCGTTTTTTTTTTACCTCTGATTTGTTTTTGGCGGTAACCATAACGGTGGTCGAGTAGATCAAGTTGTGCGGGGCCGAGAACCCTCAGTACGCGCAAGGGGGATATTCGCACCACGTTGTGTTAAAATGGTAAAGCATCCTCGAGGCAGTTACGCAGTGCTTATACATTGTAACTGTCTCTGAAAGTGAAAGCACCAGAAAATAAATTAAGCCATACGCAGCTGTCACCCGTACGCATGGAAGTAAGCACAAGAGGCCGAACACCCTTAGCAGGATGCAGCGCACCCTTCATGCGGCTCGCCGAATACCTCACGGCGCTTCGCGCTTGGTGATGTGGTGCTAACCTGGTCCGGTGAGAACCTGGCGTACTCCGTCCCGGCTTTGTAGGGATGCGAGGTCAATGGTCTAACTAACGACTACGGCATGCACGACTATGAGTACCCCCCCCCCCCCCCCCACCATCCCCGGGAAAAAAGGGAAATG